ATGCCCACATGATCACATGACCACCGAGCCCCGCCTACCCAGCTGGACATTAGGGCAGAGAACCGGTTGGTAAATTATTTGAATCCCACCACTGAGCTGAAGGAAACGTCTTCCTTATTAAGTTTTAAAGGGAGTTAGAAAATATTCACAGAGGCCTTTAACAAATTAGTGTTTTGATGTCGAGATCATGGTGTGTTTCTTCTTTTATCAATTTTTTACAAGAGTTTGGATCTCAGACCTGCACAAGAAACACATTTTCTTTCTATGGGCTCCTGTTCTCATTCTGCAGACCCTAATAACTGGAAGGCAAAACTTCTTGGTCTATTTTAAATGTCAAGGCAGCAGGTATGATCGGAATCTGACTATCTGCTTCGTCACCTATTTTAGTTGATGCCTTGGAACGGGCTCTCTCTCAAAATGGCAAATTAGCCGCCCGGAGTCCTACGGGATTGGGCGGCATACAAATGTTATTAAACTTTGAAACTTTGAAATTCCGAGCGATTCCAACCGAAAGACCAACAGGCAAACATACCACTTCAGTTCCTTGGACTGAGAACTGACATGTTTCCAGTGTCCCTGAAAATGCATTGAATAGGGTTTTTTCCCCTTCCCTTGGGGGGAAATCAATCCCACCAATATTACAAATGACTTAAGGATGAAATGTGTACATAGAGAACTTTTGCCCTCTAACAGCAATTTTTTTTTTTTAAGAACCACAGAACAGAAACAGAAACAAGAGTATGTGCGTTTAGATACATCAGATCTTGGATCAGCCTTTGCTCCAAACACCCATGTTGGATGAATAATCTCACAGTGGTAAACCCCAAAAACCTGGAGAAGGTTGCCATAGAAAATGCAAATGCTAGCCTTACTCACTGCTCTTTAAAAACATTTCTCTTGGCCAAAAGAAACTAGTAAACTACCACTCTGTTTATCCTTATTCACTGCCATTCCATGCCTCTCCCGTCAATCTTCCCTTATACTCCTTTGTCTCCATCAGAGGTGGGTTCCTACCAGTTCGCACCTATTCGGTAGAACCGGTTCGTCAAATCTACCGAACCGGTTAGAAGAGGTTCCACCAGTGGACNCAGAGTCAGCATATTGCCCCCAACAACAAGCCGGGTCCTCATTTTACCCACCTCGGAAGGATGGAAGGCTGAGTCAACCTTGAGCCGGTGAGATTAGAACCGCCGAACTGCAGGTGACAGTCAGCTGAAGTGGCCTGCAGTGCTGCACCCTAACCACTGCGCCACCTCGGCTCTTGAAATTGAAGACTGGTTTAAATCAACTAATCTTGCAAACGGCCCACCTGCTCCGAACAACCAATGGCTTTCCAGGGGAAGAGCAGGTGAAGGTTTTGTGCAAAGAGGAGAACGAATGGCTCGGAGATGCAGGTTAAAAAAAATTAAATTGTGGGTCTATACACAGGCAAGGGGAATTTTTTTCAGAAAGGAGGAGAATCGTACCGAATCAGAGTCTTGGTAGCTCAGCAGCTACCCGGCTTGCCCACTTCATGTCACTCAATCATTCAGCAGCCAATCACTCTGTCTCTCACACACACTCCTGACATAAAATCATAATACTGTGCAGGTCTTAGTGAACAAATGGATACCTCCGTGTAAGTCCAAGGCAGGTTGATTTGACCACCAGGACAATATATTCATCAGGTCTGTACCGCTTTCTTGGGTCCAATCCCACCCCACCATTCTTTGCCACTGCCTGGCTGCTCCACAGTTCCTTTCTCGGTGGTCTTTTTCACACAAACGTGGAATGTTCCTTCATGAAAGATAAAGTGGGAAGATCCTGTTTGGGAGTGCACCGCTCCAAGGAACTGGAACTGCGGAGAGGAATCATGCAACGCTCTGCCGGCTTCCCCTGCCCCATCATCCCCCAGCAGCAAAGCACCCTTAAGAACTCCTTCCTCATGTCTTTGCTCCGGAGGGTATAAATGAGGGGGTTAATGGCTGAATTGAGGGTGGCAAAGGCAAAGAAATACTTTGACTGGTAAAGGATAGGACAAGACTTCCTGGCGCACGAAGCGTCTATCAGGAGGATGGTGAAGGCAGGCAGCCAGCAGATGATGAAGGCCCCCAGGACAAAGGTAACGGTCCTGAGCAAGGCCATCGTCTGGGAGCTGGCTATCTCGGCATGGCTGGAACGGACAATGCGGTAGATCCGGACGTAGAGGACCACGATGGAGAAGAGGATGACGGTGAAAATGGTCACCACAAAGACAATGTAGCTCTTCGAGTAAAGGGGCAGAACAGTGGAGCACTTCTCCAGATCGGACATGCAGTTCCAGCCAAGGATGGGTAGCCCCCCAATGGTGGCTGAGATGACCCAGCAGGCCCCAATCAGCATCAGCATCCTGCAGTTCTTGTCGCTAGTGTAGACCTTCACCTTGGTGATAGCCACGTGCCGTTCGATCGCGATGGCTAACAAGCTGAAGACCGAGGCGGCCAAGGTGGTAAACGCCGTGCCTTCTCGCACGAACCACTGAATGGGAGTGAGGCGAAAGGTGGCTGGGCCCGAGAGCACAATGTTGGCTATGAAAGCCGAGCCAGCCAAGAGGTCCGAAAAAGCCAAGTTGCCAATGAAGATGAACATGGCGGAGTGGAACTTCTTGTTCCTCCAGACGGATGCGAGCACCAGCAGGTTCTCCAGGATAATGAAGCAACAGAGGACAATGGTGAGCGTGGCAATCAGAGTCAGGGGAGACTCGTCTTTCTCCAGCTTATCCTTAGTATAGTTGTAATGCTGGAAGATTTTGTCCTTGTTGAAGTAGTACTTGTAAACGTTTCCCATGGCTGGTTACCGAGGTGCCCCCCTGGGGAGGTCTCTCTCAGAGGACATTTGGATAAGAGTCCACCAGGAATGAGTTCATTTGGAGCAGAGGAACTGAGGATCAACTAGGTGGAATCTGAAGAAAAATAAAAGACATACAAATCAGGCTATTGCTTAAAACAGCAGGTGAAAAACCAACATAGAACAGCTACGTTGAATAGAGCAGAGGTGGGTTCCTACCAGTCCGCGCCTATTCGGTAGAACCGGTTCGTCAAATCT